CGGGGGTGCTGCGGGCCGCCAGCCATTCAGCGCTCTGCGCGAGAGGACTGGGCGACCTTGGGCTGCTGCACTCCTCTCCGCGTCTGGGCAGCGCGAAGTTGCGGGGGGGCTGAGACGTTCCACCTCCCCTGACACGGACACCTCCCGTTCAAACAGCGTCTCCCAGACTCTCCCTCTGTGCTCTGGCTCTCACTGTCTCTGCCTCTGCGCGTCTCCATCCCTTGCTATGGTTCTGTCTCGGTCTTTTTCTCAAGTCTGTCATCTGTCTCTGCACTGTCATTTTCTCGGTCCGTGTCTCTGTCCCTAGGCAAATTCCTGCCCTCTCTGCCTCTCTTTGGATCCCTCCAGATGCCCGACTCAGTCTCTCTTCACCTCTTTAACCTGTCTCCACCATTCCCCCTCAAACCCTGCTCTGCTCTTGTCTTCCCCATCTCCAAGGCACAACCCTAAAACCAGATTCCGAAGTATTCAGTGAGACAGGAGACTGGGCCCTTCTCTTGTGAGCGTGGCTGAGGGCGTTTCACTGTCCCCAAACTGTCCGTTATTTCTCCAGAACTTGGCATGAGAAATACACGCTGAAATGTAACATTTTCATATCAGTCTGTAAGAATGGGGCTGTGGTTTATCTCAGAATCCATGGTATCAACATAAAATACTGATTTTTCATGAATTTCGCGGTGTCCTTTTCCTTGTTTGTGGCTGTTGAATATCTCAGGCTCTTCAGATTCCGCCCAAATTAATCGGGGCCTGGACACATCAAACACTTTGGAGATAGGTCCTAGAGTAACCAAGGGGCAAAATCCCCTGGAGGACGTAGGTCACACATCCTTAAACGCTGCAGTGACAAACAGGAGAGGTATCCTCCACTGGAACAGAAGCAAGAGAGCCCTTCTTCAAATCAAATCACTTCTCCAGATCAGAGCCCCGCTGTAGTACATACTTGCTTGCACTTTGAGGCCTGTGCTGCATCCCTGTTAAAAACAGCTGTATAAAGACAGTCCTCCTAATCTCAAGAGTAGTATTCTGCCTATGGCCTCCTGGAATTCGCTGGTAATGTGCAGAGCAAGTCAGCGACACAAACCTTCTAACTGGAACTATGAAAATTCACTTTAGAAATAATACACATGTGCCTACAGCATAGTTGCTATGTTGACATATATATATTTTTTTCAGTACAGGCGTTTGAACTCAGGACCTAATGCTTGCCAGTCAGGCATTGTGCCACTGAGCTACATCCCTGGCCCCTACATGTGTATTTTCACTCACTAGGTTTTTTATGTTCTTGCAAATTTGAAGAAGCAAAATAAAAGAGGGCATCCATATCTGAGGCTGAAGGGTCAAATTAGTGCAAAAGAAGGAAGCTTTGTCTGATTCCACCCTACGGGATTCATGACAAACTGAAATTGATCCCACTTGTACAAGAGTTTTAGAGCCTCCCAGGCTGGAATATGGAGCTGGAATGAATATTTGGATTGTCAGAGCTGGTCTTCTCTCTGACCTTAAAAGAAACCAGAAAGCACTGGGGATTTAGCTCAGTGGTAATGCTGCCTGCCTTGCAAGTGCATCAGTACCAAAAAGAAGAAGGAGGAGGAGGAGGAGATGAAGATGGAGATGGTTCATTCATATTTTGGGCTGGGGATTTAGCTCAGTGGTGCTGCCACCAGCCTCACAAACCCAAGGTCCTGAGTTCGATTCGAGGTAGCTGAAAAAGGCCAGCTTTGGGATATACCAAGTTCCTTTCCAAACCTTATTTCAAAAACACTCTGCCTCTGCAGCCATTTAGCTGTGGGGAAAAAAATAGAAAGAGATCAGGGACCATAAAATCTCTGTCTGAATGGGACTGATTATTTAAGAAAAGCACCACAGGAACCTAGTGATGGGAACAGGTCTGACACTCTGCTCTATGACACAGGGTGCCAACGAGCTTTTTATGCTAATGACCTGAGATCTTCTATCCAGACGTGCAAGTCTTACTGGATCCTATAAGATATTTGGCCTGGGATGTAAAACGGCAATGGATTGTCATCTTTTCTATCCTTTCAGGATGATTCCTTCCCCATAGCACTGTCAGAAAAGGACAGTGAGCCACCAGGTAACACTTAAGAACCATTTCTTCTGATAAACCTCTCCAAGGTCATTGACACTATATTGGCAGGGAGAAGGAGAAAGATGGTTCTTTAACACTTTCTTTCATATCCTTCACTTTAAAAAAAATAAGAGCACAATTCTCATGAATTCTTCTGTTTACATTCTGTACACTTTTCTAAAATGCACTCTTAGAATACAATACATAAGTAATCATCTTCACCGGGACAGAGTAAGAATGAGATTATCTTTCAAGAATATAGTATGTGTGCCAGTTTTTTTCAGATATTGAGAATTCTTTCAGAAATCGCTCTCTAAATTTCGTTTGTGATGCAAATTAATACTGGAAGAATTTAAAATTAGAATATATTTTAAATATACTTGCAATCCTATTAAATATAACTATGTCAGTTAATTTAGTTTGGCTTATTTTATGTTTCTCCTTATTGGCAGGAGAACCACTGGGCAGGATTGGAAGTTTGAGTGATCTTGCAGCTAGGAAGAAGACAGAAAAAAAGAGACTAACTTGAATTCCACAGAGCTCTATCCTAAAATGAGCCTATCTCAACACACATGAATTTCATTGTATTTTATTCAAAACCCAAGTAAAAATAGGAAACTATTGTTATAAAGCACCCTGCTATGGTCTTGCTTGAGCTTCAGGACATAACATTGTACATAATACTGCACTGTGCCTATTTTTTCCTAATAACACCAAAAATTATAAAGCTTGTATTATCTTTCTGCATGACTTCAGTATAAACTGGCATTTTCATGTTGTATGACCTTGGGCAAATGACTAAATATTGGTCTCCATATCCTTTTCTTTACAATGAAGAAGTAAGGTTAGATGATGAATAATTTTATTCTACTTCTAATATGAAATCATCCCTGGCTTATACAAAAAACTTAGCTACTTCACACACACACACACACACACACACACACACACAATTATGATATTCAAAGATATTATCAATTTGAAAGAAGATATTTTCTTCAATTCACTTCACAAATGTTAAGGGAAATGCATTTGTGGGTTTGAAACAATGTTTTTCCATGCTATTCTTCCCTGCCCCACCCTCATAACCTTTGTTCTAGGTCAAGTGTTGGCTCGCTTGTGTTAATCTCATTTTCTTAAATTAATGGTTCTGTACATATTTTCAATTCCATTGATTTATGAGAATCTACCATCATACTTGCTACAAAGGTTCCAAAGCTATTTCTAATCCTTTTGCAAAATAAAATTCTTAAATGCCACACAGTAAAACTAAAAAAAAAAAACAAAAAAAACTCTAGTCCCTCTACATCCCCAGGACATTTTGCTAGCAGGAGGAAGCATCATTTGCAAAATGACTTTACCAGCTAGAGTATTTGGTATTTGAATTTAGTAAAATTTGGTTGGTTACCTATGCAGAGTGTGTGCTAAATCACAGACACAAGAATGCTTTAATGACAAGGTCATTGGACTAAAGAAAAAAAATAGCCATCAACCTCTGGAATAATAGTTAGAGGGAATCAAAAAGTTTTGCGCAAAAGGCATTTTCTTTTTAAGAACAATTTATATGTTCAGTCTTTATATGCATATTTCATTTATTCTGGTAGTTGAGGATAGAGGTTCTCATAAGTAAGGTAGTTTTAATTATGCTCACAAACTTTAAAAGGGGAATGAACACAATAAAAGAAATTAAAGAAAGCCAGCAGTTTAAAAGGCAGCTGAATGCAAAAGGTGGGAAGATTGGGGTCACAGCTCAAGAATCATAATTAAAATTTTTAAAAATATTGTGACTAAGCAAATCTAATTACAGAAATTCTTCATGGTGATCTCTCCAGAGATTAATTGACAGTTCCCTAAAGCGGAATCATTAAAGACAAAGAATTTGATAACCAATGTTCTGTGAACAAAGCAAAATACAGCATTTGCTTTCAGCCAGGAAGAACACTGGAGTTCTCAACCATGTAGAGATACAAGAAAGTATGAGGACTAAGGCGTGCATTTCTGTGGCTACCAAAAGCTGAAAATGAGTCCTCAAATGCATACTTCCTCTTCATCATCTAATACACCTGTATATTTTGGAACACACATGTTTTTCCAGGTTTGACGCAATTTGGAAACATGAAGACAGAGTCTAAATCAAGATGATTTATACAGGGATGGAATGAAGGGCTACTTCAATGCAAATATCGCAGAGATAAGAATGGGTTGGATCAGAAAGCTTTTAGGTAAGGGAAATCATAAGGATACAACAACCCTTTCTATTTCTCTTTTTCATATCAAATTAATAAAAACAGTCATGCTGGAATTTTACCACAATTAACTTCAAGGATCAAACCATAAATACTGCTTTCCATATTTTACCTCTTCTAGTTCCAGCAATGAAGTGTTTTTTTATGAAGTTCAAAGCAAATTGTGTTATAAAATTTTGTATTCTATTCATAGATGTCCTAGAGATATCTAAACATTAATGCATTCTGTCACTACACATCCTATGCTTGTAATAGGAATAAGGCCATACGTTTTGCC